TTTGCTTGTTGATCTATGAAATTCAAAAATTTAATTCACCAATGGTTCTCGAATTCTTTTTCAGTTTCAGAGTTTCTCTCACAAAATCAAGAAATTTTTCTTGTTTGAAAATATTATCTAATCTTATCAGGTATTTGGAGAATGAGATGATGATTTATATGATTTCAAATTTAAACCCGAAAATTGTAAATAATCCTATTTAATACAAAATATAAAATTATCTCACTGTATTAAGGATTGCATAAGATTGCATATATTTCACAGTAATTGAGTGATTCATTAACACTAGAACTACCAAGTGTTTAATATGATTCATATGTAATCGTTATAAAACTGGTAACAATGGATTTCTTTCCATTTCTTTATATATTCGTTGTAGTATTCTACTGAAACTATTTATTTTTAAAATGATTTTATAATACGCAATCCTTATAAAAATTGTAACAACAGATATTTTTTGATTTCTTCATATACTCATGAAGTATTCCACTGAAACTATTTATTCTTCAAATCATTTCGGATGTTTAAGACTTTTAAGATGTCAACAATTGCGAAATAAGAAAACTGTAATCCGTTATTTTGACGGATTCATAGTTCTAGTGTTAAAGAACTTGACACGATTTATTGCAGACGTGTGCGAAGGAAATGCGAAAGTAATGAAAATCATACTTTTTATACCCATATTTTTTATGTGGTTACGATTATCGTGCAATGATGAACACTCGCCATTTGATAACGGTATAAGAGTCAGACGGTATCCAATTAGGGGGTGTCGGTTTTTCCCATAACATACGGGCCGATGAGGGTCTCTCCATAGTAGAACCCTAATACAACGAAGGGTTAATGTTTTTAACCCCAAACAGATTCTCATGCAGCTATATATAACGGCTAATGGGAGTCAGTTATCGTTATAGTGGTCGAACTATTTGTATACGTATCAGTCCGGTATATGCGGGTTCTTTGTAGAACATGCAAGTTCTATGAACGAATCGAAATCTCCATTTCCATTGTAAACTGTGGCAACCTTATCGATCTGTGAATGAAGAATAGTCTTTTGTCGCGCACACTTTTTATAACCAAATCTTGCTGCGAGAAAGTAGACGATTATTATTTATAGTTTAAAAATCACGTTAGAAAACAATGTAAACAGGAATAAATATCTTGAATTAGAAGTTTCGTTTCTGTTTTCTGTTTCGGCTGACGTATGTTAAACAAAAAATTACAGTGCGTATTAAGTACCGTTTCAGAGTAGGTAATATTTTCAGTGAATTATTTATTTACTTGAGAATCACTTCTGTTTTACAATTCACAATACATATAGATAATAAAGGATATTTATTCTGGAAAAAGTTTCTATGAGAAGTACCCATAAAAGTTTTCGGACTGCTTGAATAAAGCATAACTCTATCTAACTAAATCTGTAATTTTTCGTTAAATGTATACGGAAAACAACATTGCGAATTTACAAAATTTGTAAAGGAATACACGGATCACCTTTGTTTCCAGTTCATTTGAGGTAGATTTGGGTTAGTACTTATTTAATATTATAGCACATTGGTAATATTTTATTGTTATTATGATTATTATTAATATCATTCCTATTACCATTATTGTTAATATTTTATTTCTTAAAAGCAAAGGTAAAATTTGTATATCTAGGCACACATGGATAGTTAGATACTCGTTGCATTTTCCTAAGAAAATATTTTTCTTGTTTCACTATCTTTAGTACCATAAGATAATATATAATTATCTAATATCATCCCCGTTAATGGCAAATCGTTTAATGATAACTCCAGCGAAACCTTGCATAACTCATGGTTACAGAGATGACTTGCAATTATGCTTATAGGAATGTGTATCACGTTTTTCTTAAACGGTGATTACTCCATAAAATTTATGTATTACCGGCATGAAAAGCTTTCTATTTAGACCGCTCGAAATTCCAGAGTGGAAATCTTTATATTGTTACAAGTCACTGTATCGCATTGTTACGAAACATCGAGATTGACGTATAATCGAATGCTAACAATGTGCAGACGGTGGTTATTTACAATCTGCGGCTTACATCGTGCATGAATAGAAGCTCAATTTCATTCATGCGACTCTTCTCGGTATTCCATCGGTCGGATACGTTCGAGCTATCGGAACATGGGTGCACTGAATGTCGCAACTGAAATAGTTTCGTCGTCTTTAAAATAACTAGACATTTATCATTCGACTATCAATGATCTGCGTATCTCCAATACATATCAAAATGCGTGCACACGATTTTAAATTCAATGGGAAAACATGATAAATGGAACAAAATTGTATCATCGTGTGATGTATTGAATAACGCCTGCAAATCACGGATATTTTTGTATTTGAAGAATTCGATACTTGAACTTGTAAGAAAATTTGAACATATATTCTGAATTATGCGAAACACGAAGATTATTATATGTACATACATAGGTAACCATTACGTAAATGCTAATGGCCGTGTAAAGATTAACTGAAAAACTTTTACATACAATATGATCAGATACGGAAGATAAAAAAAATTGATTGCTAAATTGAATGTTAATTTCAAATTTGATCTGCATAAAGAGTTGTAACTTCTAACTATTAGATATGTAAATAAAGTCAAGGTTTTCTTAAAATATTTTTGTTATTTTCAAAATTACATTTATGAATTCATTGATATTACCATGGCATAGGAAAATATTTTAACCCTTTGCAGACGAATGTCGACATTTCAGTGAGATGAAATATTCATACTAAGAAAACTAGCGCGAAGTTTCCTTTTTTCTATTAATTAAACAATTGGTAGATAATTTAGAATTTGCGTTCGCAAAGGATTAATGTATGAAATGTCTAACTGTTTGAAATGAATACATTTAAAGGCATCGCATTAGTTTATATTGCTAATAGTATGTATAGATACATATAACAGTAATAATTGTATAATTTCTTTGACAAATTTTTGAAAAAGTGTGAGAAATTTTTTCTAAATAAATTAAGAAAAACGAATAGACTTTATTTACTATGTGGATATTTTAGGTGCTGCTTCTTTAAACGAGTTCTTAAACATCTTCGTGTGAAGGTGATAAAATCTGTTTAAATAGCAGTTCTTTCATATTATTTGCAATACTCTAAAAATAACCATCTGTTTTTATTAACGTTACACTGTATTACATGTGTAAATAGTACATGAATGAAAAGATTTCATAAGATTTCTTTGTTTGAATTTCATAATATACTAGGTATTAGAATCTTAACATCTTACATAGTCATTCTGACGTTGCAAAATTTTCTCACCACTTCTTTGATAGTTGATGATAGTAGATATACAAAAATACGAATATTAAAAGACACATTGTTTTATATTACAAAGAATATGATGCTGTTTTTGGATATGATTTTCAAATAGTAAATTTCATTATGTACAATTAGTAATATTACGGAAACATGAATAATAATCAAATTATATGGAGCAGCATTTTTATGGATCACTATACATCATGAACTCATAAGAGAATACTATACACAATCTTCTCGAGTCTTGTGGCAACAGAAAATAAAATAATCACATATATCATATTTCTATGTTATAACTTGTAAACAAATCTCAAGAAACAGTCAAGATATGTTTCTTTATAATTTTAATAATTCGCACAAGTTATCATTTAAAGGAAATATTGATGGGTTCGTTAAACTGCGTTTCAATGACTAACCAAATGTTTATAAGAAGATTAAATACAATTCCTTTATAAATGTCTTTCTGTCTAAAACTATATAATTGAAACTGTACTCCGAATAAAAAAAACAGATTCCAAACATATATATCATTTTTACCATTCAGTGAATGTATTAAGCACAAAGTAACGTTGACAAGCGTTATAAAAAAAGAATGATAAACTATGAAATATTAGAACATGCAAACGTATAAAGTGCTCCAATAAAATTTACGCCTTCAAATATTCGAAAAGCGCAATTTCTTAGAGGAACAATCGACGCAAAAAAAAAGCAGCCATGTTCTATATCCCCCGGAACTACCCTAAGGGAATCTCCACCAATGAGAGACATTAGGGTGAAGAGCCCGGAGGAATCGTTCGAAATTTTCGCGGACCAAGGGGTTGCCGGCACCGGCAGAACAAGGGAGAGATAGACGTCTTGTACGATTGGCCGAGCGACCCGGCGCGGTTGCCAAGTCCGCTCAGTCAACGCTTGTTGTTGGTGGTGGGGAGCTAGCGTCGAGGAGCGACGTGATTGGTGGGTCGCGCGGTGCCGCCTTTCGTGTCTCACGGGCCGCGGCGCGGATACACACATCCTCAGTTCGCATTCGGAGGCCCTGCGAGCTGTATCTCCTTGAGAAGGAAAGGAAAGATCCAACGGGAGCTTTCAAATTTCCCCTCCAAGGGAGTCGCGCTTAAGATTCTACTAATACGACAAAGTGCCAAGTTTCTCTCGCACGTATTCTCGTCATCGGTATATATAAATATATACACACGCATATTAGTCGTCATTCGTCTTCACGGTGAACCCAACACGTGACTGAACCGCCAAAAGCGAAAAGAGGCTCGAGAAGGAGGCAGACAAGAGAGCATCGTGTTTAACGTAATCCACGCGAGGAGAGACAGAGAAAGAAAGAGACAGAGAGACAGAGAGAAATAGAGAAAGAGAGAGAGAGAGAGAGAGACACCTCGCCGATCGTTTCGAATCGCTCGATAACCGTGAATCTGGCTCTCACTGATCTCCACGCAAGTCGAGAGCAATCGGTCCGGGTGTGCTTCCAATGTAAATCAACGAGCAAATTATCAGAGTGGCAGTTCTTGTGTTCCCGAAGTTCGTATACCCGCGGTTT